GATCAAAAAGAAAAAAATCTTTAAATATCCACTGCATCTATTGACAATTTTGTCATGCCAGCTCTAAACCAATTTGATATGCATTGTTTCCAAGCAATTTCAAGATATCAGACTGTGTTCTAAGACTAATTGTTAACTGTAAAACATTCTTTTTTTTTCTTTTTATAGATACAGTATGGAAAATAGAACAATTAGGTAAATACTTTATAATATGGCCTATCTAACCCTTCTGTCTTCTTAATGCCAACAGGACTATCTGCATAACCTTATTTATGCATAAATGTACTATACAATTGACCTGACAGGATGTTCTTCAGAAACATACAAAAAACACGAATCAGTAAAGTAGAATGTATTTATTATTACACAACCATAATCTCTCATTAAATAAACCTCACAATGTGTAACAGAACATTAACATTAAAACCAAGAATTCAAGATCTTCCAGCTTAGTGTTTAGCTTAGATGTAAAACAAGTAACTAAAACTCCACTGAAAAACAAACCCAGATGAGCTGAAAAAGGATACCAGTACAAAATTCATGTATCAAGCTGAAGAGACCAAATGGGAAAAAAATTAATAAAAAGAAATTAACAAACAAACAAAAGCCACGAACAAGAATCCAACCAATACTCTTTTGGAGATACAAGGATACTAAGATGCTAAAAATAAACAACAGAAAGTAATTTTTACTTGTACATATATGTCAATAGCAGAAAAAAACATTCATAAAAAGACTTATGTCTACAGAATGAGTGGGACATAACTTTCCAAGGCATTAAAAGACTGTTGGACCATAGAACTTTCAAGCACAGAACTGCCATTTTTGCAGCACTTGACCATCTCTTGACATAACATACTAAGTTTGTAGAGGTAGATGAAAGGTTCTTTGATGAGAAACAGAAAGTCAAGTCTTAGACTCTAAAACTATCTTAAATATTTTCATACCTCAATGAAAAGAGGCATTTTCATAAATAATAAAATCACATTTCCTGACACAGGTATTTTAAATCTGAACAAATTTGAGCATATTTCTTCAAAAGGAGCACTAGCTATTGATGACTGGATGTGTTGTTTCAGTAGCAATGAATGAAGAACATGGAATAAATGGATTATGAAAGTCAAGGGCAGTAAGAGCAGTAATCAGATGTCACAGAGTACATACATACATTCTATCAAGTTGACTCATGTACAAGTCACCTCGTTTCTGTTAGTATGCAGATCTCTACAGGATCTCAGATCAGCAACACCTTCTTGTTGCTCAAAACAACTTCCAGTGTTCATAAAAACTTCAGTTTTGCTTTAAAAGCATACCCTAAGTCACTTAGCAGCTATTCCACATGTTTAAATTATGTAGCTGCTATGAAATCAACAATGCTAACTGATAAAACAGTAAGAGATTCAGGGAGAGAAAATACGCTTTAGGGGTCTCTGAGAAGATGCAACATACTCAAAGTTACACACGCATATGTTTATCTACATCTGTAATAATCCAAACATACGCACAATGTTGTCCCTTCATGTAATAAAATATTTAATACTATATGTTTTACTTTCAGTATGAAGAAACAAAACAAAACAAATAATTTCTTTCACTTCTTTTCATGTTTAGAAACAGAACAGTACATTTCTCTCAGTAGTGGGGAAAAAAAAATACAAGGGTAATGAAAATGAAGTAATCTTAACCAAGGGGAGGTGGGGGCAACCAGAGTTAAAGCAATGAATTATTTTTCCCTTAGGACTATCAGCATCAGAGTTTTTCTGAAAGCTCTCTGTTAGCTACATTTCCTTCTTCAAATGATTTTAATTTCTGTTTCAACTGGGGGGAAGAGGGCAGAGAATGGGAAGGAAAAAAACCAATTTAACATTAACATGTCTGTATGAAACACAAGAATCTGGATGTGTCTTTCTTCTTACATCCTCTCAGATTTCACTCGGTTGATGACACGTAAAATTCTTATAAATCTTACTTTTCTCTGAGGTAGACTGTAACACCGAGTTTCAGGAAAGCGGACGCTTTTACTTTCGTGCTGTCACCTGTCATCCCGCTACCCAGAACACCACCACCTCCCGCTAGCGTTCTAATGAACTTCTGAGAAAGTTGGCTAGAGACGATCCGCAGCGCGGAGCGCCGGCTTTGAGAGGCTCCTGTCCTCGGGCCGGCCCCTCGGGGGGCCGGAGGTGGGGACAGGGGCAGGTCAGGAGCAGAGGCAGGTCAGGAACAGGGGCAGGTCAGGAGCAGGGGCAAGGCAAGGCCAGGGCAGGCCAAGGGCAGCAATCCCTGCTCCGCGGCACCTCGACCCTGAGGCTGGCAGGTCCGTCTCGGGACTCTCGGC